ACCAAGGGATCAAATGAATTCTCCACAATGTGATGAGGAAGACAAAGCTGGTCCGAAGCCTGGACACAGGGGGACAAGTGTCAGGAAGGGTTACGAGAAGCTTCGCAGACTGATCAATAGGAAACCAAGCTGGGATAAATGGGCAATCACCAGCAGTCACCCCTGACCCCTAAATCCCACATCCCCATTTATTGCATGAAGTATAAGGATTAGAATAATTTCCTTTTTCACATCTGTTAAGCTCCCGGAGCCTACCAGGCTCTTTCTTTGGGTCTCTTGAAACAAAAGCAAAACAGAAGAACAAGAACCTCCCAGAACTTCTCAAAGTCCTTGGTTCCAGGATGAGTTTTGCTGCTGACTGTGCCATGAGTGAGTGAGACACGAGGCAACAAAGCATTGAATGACTATATCGCTTGGCTTTCTTTTATCTTTGTATGAAACTGTCAACTTCATGAAACTTTGCAAAGCAAACACCTAGACGAAAATAAGAGTAATTTTACTAGCGGAATTTTTTTCTTTTTTTTTAAATGTGTATGCTGTTTATCTGTGTTATGTGTCTGGGTAGGTATACGTGGGCACCTTACCTGTGTGCGTCTGTGTATGTGCGCGTCCTGAGTGTTCTGTGTGTCTGAGTGTCTGTGGGTGTCTGCTGAGGACTTCTGTTCATTTTAGGGTCATGGTTTCCTGGTGCTGAGAAGCGAAAGGAACCCTGAGGCTTTGGATAATTCTCTCCTCCTCTCTGGGCCTCAGTTTCCTCTCCTACATAAATGTGGGATTTGAACTCCATGATTTTGAAGGACCCTTCCAGACCTGACCATCCTTAACTTCATCACTCAACATATGCTTTAAGGACTTCATCCAAAGAAGGTCTAAATAAGAGTCAGGAGGTTAAAGCTGCAGCAGTGGCAGGGACTGGAGTTAGACTTCAGCAGGATAAAGACCACAGGCCAGCCCTCACTGGCTGCAGAAGAGACATGGCGCTCCTGGTCGGAAGGAAAAGCTGATAGAATGCTAGGCTGGGCTGAAGAACCGGGCTGTGTCCTCCCAACCACAGACAAGCCAGGCAAGGGGCAGAATTCTTGTCTATGGAATTTGCAGAAAAGGAGAAGAACTCCCTGTGGGGCTGTAGGGAGGCAGAGGAATGAAGAGTGCCCATCTAGGAAGACAGCCCTGGGCAGGAAGTGGCCTGCTCAGGTCCTGCTCTGGCTCCTGCAGCATCCTGATAAGCAGAAGGTGCTGGGTTCCCACCCTGATAGCCCAATGCTGGCATATCAGGGCCCTCAGACTACCCCACCCAGGCCCAGACTCTCCTCCAGTCCACACCCTGATCACAGTACCCCCCACCCAAGCCAGGGGCCACAGGCATAGGGTCTCTGGCTAGCTGAGCTGTCTCCCTCCTCTACCTCCAGGACCCCTGGTTCTGTCCATGCCCCCTCTCCCCAGGGACTAAGCAGAAGCCTAGGCAGTGAGTAGCATGAAGTTTGTCCCTGGTGCACAAAACCACTCACTCTAGTAAAGGAGCCTGAGCTGTCTGTGGGGTCTCTGAGCAGAGATGGCCTGGCAGGAGGGGTCACGGGACAGGAAAGGGGGTCACAGGGAGGCGGGAGCAGACATGATGATAGTTCCTCACCCAGTTAGAGCACCTAGTTTATAAAGGTTTCTCACCCATATTTCTCGCTTGATTCTTAGAACTTAATGAGGTTTGTATTACCACCAAAGCTCTGGGAAGTGGCGATCTGCCCCCATTCACACAGCTAGAGAGTGAGAGTCAGAGGAAAGAAGGAGGAAGGATCCTGATATTTGCTCTACATGTGCTAGGCTCAGGTCTGGGTGTTTGCTATGAGGGCTAATATAATCCTAATAATCTCCACACGAGGTAGGTATTGATAGCTCTCATTTTACATTTCAGTAAACTGAGGCTGAGAGCACTTGGTCCAAAGTCATAGAGCTGGGTGCAGTGGAGCTGGGACTGTCACTTAAGGCCTATCACCTCTAAACCTGGGCTCTTTCGATGGGCCTGAGCTTTCAGGAATATTTCCACAGACACTCAGATGTTCAAGCCTTGCCTGTGGCCTTCACCCCTGTGTGGAGGGGTGAGCTGGGAACCACATCTATGGGCCAGCACTAGCACTGTGCCAAGTGCTTTACCAGCATGAGCTCACCTAGCCCTCACAGCAACTCTGTGAACTGGGTACTGTTATTATTCCTATTTACAAATGAGAACAGGGGGCCTGAGAGAGAAAATTACTTGCCACAGCCTCACTGGGTCTGGTTCCCCAGGAAGAGGTCTTTCTCCTCTTTCACATTACATTAGGCTCAGCTAGAAGTCATTTGACATAAACATTTATTTAGTCATTGCTAAACAGTATGTGCAGGTGCCCTGGTGGTGCAGTGGTTACAGCGTTTGGCTGCTAACCGAAGGGTCGGCATTTCCAACCCACCAGCTGCTCCTCAGGAGAAAGACGTGGCAGTCTGCTTCCTTAATGATTACAGCCTTGGAAACCCTGTGGGGCAGGTCTACTCTGTCCTACAGGGTCGCTGTGAGTCAGAATAGACTTGACAGCAGCGGGTTTTTTGGTTAAATAGCATGTTCTAGAGATAAATCAGTGAATAGACCAGGCCCTCAGGATTACTTGCTTAATGGGAATAATCGCACACAGAAATGAGCCCATAACAGGGGGATGGAAGTAGCTGTGGAAGGCTTCCCTGCAGAAGTGACACCTGGAGACCTGAAGAAGAAACAGGAGTGCACTGGACAAGAAAGGAGGGAAGATCAAGCCAAGCAGAGGAAGAGCATGTGCGAGAGTTCTGTGGTGGAAGGAAACAGAGCACCTCCAAGGAACGAAAGAAGGTAGGCTCTCTCATCCTGCTCTCTGTCCTGGCCTTGTCTACCCCTGCAGAGGCAGGGTTTAACTACTTCCCAAGCACACAGACCAGTGTGCCTAGGATAGGGGAAGGGGAGGGAGCAGAGAAGCAGATGCATCTTCCAGAATGAGGGTCTAAATAGCAGAGGCCCTGCTTTGAGGAGCCTCTACCCCAGGATCTCCCCTTCCCTAGAGGCAGAGAACTCAGCAGTACTAGGCTCTCACTTGAAAGTGCCTTGAGCCCTGAAGAATGGGTCTCCATCCACACTTACTGGCTCCCACAAGAGCTTGGGATTCAGCTGCACTTAAGTCTCCTGCTCTCCACCCAGGGACCCTGCCAGGGCCGAGGTGGGCAAAGGGCTATAGGTCTGTCCACCTGCATAGACTTGGCCTCCCTGGGGTCAGCACAAACAAGGCAGGGGCCTGGGGACTGAAACCTAGGCTGCAGGGTCCTATAAGCCTGCGTCCAGACAGATTACACAGAGATTCAACTAACATACCCCACTCCAAAACCTTCCACCAGGGCTCTGACCAGCAGTAAGATCTGAAGCATGGAGGTGAGGCTGTCCTTTCTCCTCCCCAACACAGCAATGAACAGCTTCATAGGGAGCTAAGTGAAGAAGGGATTTTAGGCTTAGCAAAATCCACACAAGAGTATGTAAGTGCTAAGAAAGGGCCTAAAAGGAAGATGGGCCAGTGACCCTTCTTCCAGGGAGTCCAGCAGGAGAAAGGTTAAGCAGCAGGGCCTTCTAGGAATATTACCCATAAAAAATAACTGACATTATCAAACAAGATCAGGTGGGTTTAAAACAAGATTAAGTATGAAAAAGAATCTATCAAAAATCTTGGAAATTATATGCTGGTAGAGACATAATTTTGTTTTTTCTTAAAAGAAATTGCAAGAAACGGATCAATGTTTTACCTACACAGAAAATGACTGAAGTGGGGTGGCTTTCACTTTTCATTTTGTGCTTTTCTGGACTCTGCATTTTCAAAACATTTACACTATGTTTATTAAAAGAAAATCCCACAAAGATTCTGGGCAAGAAGATTACTGTTCTCTTTATTTTCTTCTTTGAACAACTCTAAGTTTCATTGATTTTATAAATATTACAGATTTGTGCCTTTCTTAACAAATTTTACTGTAGTGAAATATATATACCAAAAAGTTTACCATTTTAACCTATTTTTTTTTAAAGAAAGAAAAGTTTAAAAATGGAATGTCTTAAAAAAAAAAAAAAAGAGGCAGGGCCCTCTGGAACCCGGGAAAAGTACCCCACCCAGGGGAGGGGCCGGTGGGGTTAAAAGACAAGTAGCTTGAGCTGAGAGGCAGGGAGAGGGCCTCCTGCATCCACAGGCCTACCCAGCCTGCAATTCCAGCTCCAGGTAAGCACCCCTCCTCTGGGTCTGTGTGTCCGCTTGCTGCTCTGACCAGAGGCAGCCGTCTGCCTCACGTGACCTATGGCTTGTTTAGTTCTGGCACTGACTCCTAAGAGATGCCACTGACCCCGCTCCGCAGGGGCCTCTGCTCCTGAGCCCCAGTTTTGTCTAGGACCAGTCTTCTTCCCCTAACCTGCTTGGGCTGCCCCTAACCACAGAATCAAGAAGCTGCTGGCCCAGGGGGTTTGTGGGAAGGGAGCAGGGAGCCGTGTGTGTCCAGCCCAGCCCTGACTGTTCTGCTCTGCCCCCAGCCCCGGCTCTCACTGCCCACAGTGCCCCCTGCAGGGCCCTGGCTGGGATATCATCATATACTGTAAGTTTGCGATGAGACACTACAGTATAGATGATGTACTAGTCCGGGTACCCCCAGCTCTGGAGCCTGATGAGGAGGGCAGAGGAGATGCTCCGAGCCCAAGGGGCTCACCGCTCAGCCTGTCACAGACTGCCGACAGCCAGGGCACTTCGGAATGGCGAGGAAACCGTTACCATTACTGAGTTTAGTAATGGTAACGGTTCTCTTGCTGCACCAGAAAACGTGCCAAGAAGAGAGCTCAGGACTCTGGAGCAGACTACTGGAAGGGAGGGAGGGAGGGAGACTCCAGCTCATAGGGGTGGGGGTGAGGGAATGGGTAAGTTTTCTCGCTCCTGTTCTAAAGAAGTAAAAGTGAGAACCAGAATGCTTGTCTTTTAACTTTATTCTCATCCAAGACTGGGGAGGGGTTGGAATGGGAGGGATCAAGGACTTGGGACTCAGGAGAGAGGCACTCTCTCACTCAGAACACGAGTCCCTACCTGGCTTTAAGGCGGAGAACTGAGGAGAGAAGAAAGATTTCCTCTGCTAACTGGCAGCTCAGGGAGAAACTCTGGGCTCAGTGCCAGCTGGAGACAGGGTGGCACTGCCCCACCAAGCGGCCAACTTCTGAGCCCTAAGTAAGCTGTAGCCCCAGGCAGAGGAGCCACCTGGGAACTGAGCTAAGGCACGCTCCTTTCTCCAACAAGAGACACAGCTGGGCAGATGCTGTGCAGACTTGGCAAGACCAGGTCAGCCAGCAAGCAGTCAATGTCCATGCTCCTCACCAGTCCCTACAGGTCCCAGGGTGGGGGAAGTTCTGGTCAGTGGCTCCTGCCAGCAGCTTCGGCTGGGATGCCCTGGGAGAGGCAGCAGAGGATGGTCACTTGAGGAGCTTCACAGAGAGGTGGAGCTGAACGTCACAGAGAAAGATGTCCATGAGGTCACGGCCCGCCTCCTGTGCGATCTGGGCGATCAGTTGCCCCTTCTGACCAATCAGAATTCCCTGGGTGTGAGATAAAAGGGGGACAGTCACACTCAGGGCTCCCCAGAAATGGGGGAAGAACCTCCATCTAACAGACCCTTGCTCCCTCTTCTGAGCCTAGCCCCACTTACCACATGAGATTCTTTGGACACCAGAAGCTTCTGTACGATCACCAGCTGGCCACTTGGCCCTTCCTCCCACACCTCAGTCCTCTGCACAGGGAACCATCAAAATTAGTCAGTCAGGCTCACAACCGTCCTCTCTGGGACCCAGCTGTCCTGCTCTGGGTGTGTGCCTGGTGCAGCACCCCCAGACCCTCTCACTGCGCTGTACCTGCTGTACGTTGTAGGGCACCTCCTGGGGCAGGTACTGGAGGAGCTTCTCCCGGATGATGTTGGCACAGATCTCCTCAGGCGTCTGGGTAGTGAGGACTCCACTGTGGAACTCCCAGGGCCCTGGCCGGGCCTGTGCCAGGAGGTACTGCTGTAGGCACAAGAGGAGTAGGTAGACATCTGAGTCCCAACCTGGCCTTTCCTACTTACTCTCGTTTCCAGGGGGAAATCTGAGTCCTATCTTCACCTAGTGGAAGCTACCCACTGCCATCAAGTGGACTCCGACTCATGACCCCATAGGGTTTCCAAGGCTGTAAATCTTTATGGAAGCAGACTGCCACATCTTTTCCCATAGAGCTGCTGGTGGTTTTGAACCACTGACCTTTTGGTTAGCAGTCCAACACTTTAACCACTGCACCATCAGTGGTCCTAGTGGAAGCTAAACACCAGGCTACGGCCAAGGCAAACTGACCTTTAGAGTTTTCACATCTTCTTGGCTTAAGGCTGATAACATGAAGATCTCCTGGAAGTGGGGCCAGCCAGTCCTCTGAGAGCCTCCCACAGGCTGTGTGTCTGAGCCCTTAGCTTCTGGGCTGGGGCGATGAGTGCTGGGGGTGTGTGACCGGAAGGCCTGCTTCATCTTGAGCTTCTTCCCATTGACCACACCTTCAGTGAGGGCTGCTGTGAGGTTCAGGAGAACTGACTTCTGCTTCAGACAATCTACCTGGGCATGGGGGATGGGCAGAGGGAGTGTGGTCAGAGGGACGAGGGCCTTGGAGAAAAGCAAACACCTTTCTCAGGTGGGTGGTGCTCACCTTGTTCATGACAAGGACGCTAGGGACCTGGGAGTACTGGGTCAAGCACTGGAGCACCTGGGGGCTGAGCTGGTTTCGAGTCCACTTGTCCGAGACATCCACAAGAACCACAACTGGAGGTTGGCAGGGTAGGGAGGAGAAAAAGGATATGACCACTCTCCCCCACAAAAAATCTCCCACAATATGGGTTCTGGCTGATCCCCAGCCCCCAAACTCCCAGGAATGAGGGGCTAGGGCTTCAGATTCCCATCCTGAGCCTAACCCAGATCAGCAGATTCCATGCTCTTCCACGGATCTTCCAGCAAAGAGAGCTCCAAATGGTGCCTGAGGAGTAGACATACATCAGTCAGGAAGAGTGCCCTGGCAAAGGCATTCCTGATGAGGGATGGGTATGTGAGAGGGGTTTTTTAACCCCTATCACCACCACTGAAGTCTCTCCACTCCCTCCTCAACACGCTTCCCCCTCCCACCACCTGTTTCCACAGCTATTACCTCTTCTGTTTAATGGGGCTGATGAGGCCAGGTGTGTCAAGCAGAATCTAAAATCAGGAAAGAGAGATGTCTAGATCCCAGGAGGAAAGATTATGACTAGGGAGTGAGAGAGGGGTCACCCCTGATGCCAGGAACCTGCCCTCCCTTCTTGGCTAAGTTATTGCTGACTTTATATTTTTAGCCCCCCAACCTTTGTTTTAATTCTAGGCGAGATCCAGGAGGAAGATGATGACTGTGAATATATGGAGGATTAGTGAGCAGTAGAGAAGGAATGAGACCTTTCTGACTAGATGCCAGGGGAAAGAGTGGGGAGACAAAACTGCACGAAGGCTAAAGAAGAGGTGACCCCCTTCCCTCAGATAACTGAGTCTAAGCATCATTTTCTTCAGGGTTAATGGTAAGGGAGACCCTCTTAACTTCACCCTCTAGCCTGTCTCCTGGACTTCCTTTGCAGGTACCCACCACCTGGGCCTCCTTCTCTGTGATGACTCCCAGAGCTTGGCAGCGAGTGGTGTGCACCTTCTTGGAGACAGGGAATACCTACCAAAACAAAGAAGTCCCAAGTGAGGCCCCAGACCCCTCTAGGACCATCCACGAAGGCGCAGCAAAAAGCGAGAGATAAAAAGGGGAGGGGGTCAAGGGTGCAGCATACTTTTCGGCCCAGCAGCTGGTTGGAGAGTGTCGACTTCCCTGCATTCGGGGCTCCCAGGAGAACCACTCGCAGGACCCGAGGGTTCTCAGGCATGTCAGGACAATGGACCAAGAGGAGATCCTGCTCATCTGGGGGGTGAGGGGCAGGGAGAAGGGAAATGAGAGATAGTAGAATCTGGATTCCCTGTCAGGTGCTTGGTTCCATCCACCCATGAAGGGAGTAGAGCTACAAGACCAGTGCAACAGATTGAAGTCAAACCCTGGGTGTGAGTCTTAGTTTTGCCATCCACTTGATTATGTGGCTTTATCAGGTTCTCTAACCTTTCTGAGACCCTTAGTTTTCTCATATGTAAAATGGAGACGATATTAATTACACCTACTTACAGATAATCATCTTTTGACCATCACAATTGTGTAAAAGCACTCAGTCAATGCCTGGCACTGAACAGATACTCAGTGATGGTAGCTGGACTTGGTAACTGTATGCACCTGTGCAAAAGTACAGTTAGACTAGATAAAGTAAAAAACTCCTCCAGTGCTGACCATCTCACCCTAAGGGTGCTGTGAAAGCTCTGCAAGTTTTCTCAGTCTTTAATGTATGCAAGCCCTTTATCACATTGCATTGTAAAGACAAGTTTATGTATCCAGCTTCCCTACTTGACTCTACAGTCTATGTTACTTAAGAAAAAAGTGTTCTCTTTATTTCTCAGGTGTAACTCAGTGTATTGACAAGTAGATAGGGCTCGACATGTATTTCATGGATCAAGTTTCTTTCCCTTGTAGGGGCTGAGATGCACAACTCTTCTTGGCTTGAGGACTTTTAATTTCATGCTCTTTTGTGAGCGTCTCTGGTTATGACTGGGTCGGTTCCCTGTCTCCCACTCTCAGAACCTAGGATCTCTTTCGTGTGACATCCTTCACAGCTCGCCCCTCTCTCAGGTCCTCAAGATCACTTTCTAGGAAATAGGGTCAAGGATGATATTTCTAGAGTTTGACAGGGTTCCCGACGCGGGACTTTCAAGGCGAAAAACTTGACAGTCCCGGGAAACTTATCTGTGCTCTTTACCTCTGTGCATGGACACCGCGGGGACGCAAGGAGTCAGGAAACTGTCTGGCTGAGCGAGTCCGAGGAAGCGGTCCAGGGCCGAACCCGGGCCATAATGGCGAGAGGCCGAAGACAGACGTGGACCAGCGAAAGCGGCGCCTGCGATACAAGACACACACCTCGGGTGATAGCCCAAAAATGAGGGGAGCCGGCACACCCAGCCCCTTGAGGCTTCGGGTCCCAGCTGCCAGACCCCTAGCACCGCGCGAACTAGCCCAGAGCCGCGCCGGCCGAGGGCAGCCATTACAGCCGCAAGACACGCCGGGAACCGACCAGGAGCGTACCTACGATTGGACAGAAAGGCGGAAAAGCGAGAGAGCGGGAGGGAGCTAGATCGGCCCAAACAGAGAGCGGAGACACACGGGATGTTGCAGGTGGGGCGGGGACGAACAGCTCTGGAGACTCGCACAGGCTAAGGAAAGGGGAAAATGTGTAGTGTAGAGTCTTTTTGAGCATGACGATTGTTTTGGACTCCCATACACATTGTGTTTTCTTGTTCTCCTGCCAAAGTTTTGTAAAAAGGCCCTTCTAGTCTTTCCTCCTGAAAGACTACGTCTCCCACCAGGCAAAGCGGCAGAAACCGTCCTCCTCGTGTCTGACCATACGGAGCTTGGAGAACCTCACGTGTTGGAGGGGTGGGCGTGGGCGTGAGAGTACGCAATGTTTAGCCAGGGTAGGTAGGGGTTTTTCTCGTCTTGCCCTGCCTCGGGCTTGCAGGATCCTGTCCCAGTCCAATTTTGCCTTGGCCTAGCGGTCCGCTTCGGGCAGCCTGAACCCTTGCTTTCTGTGAGCCTCCTGTGAGGAGGAGTGATTGGGTGTGTGTGGCCTCCTCCAAACCACCCCGAGGTAGGAGTCACTGTTACGGATGAGCTGCAGACCCTTATTCTCTTCCTGTAAGCCTCGGCTACTATCTTCACTCTGAGACCATTTCTTTCTGGAGAAAACAATAGAGGGTCTACAAAGGGAGAAGAAGCTGCCAGCTACCTAGCATCTCCCAGACCGTCTTACCGGCTTGAGGAACTTGATTTAACTTGATCGATTTGTGACCTTGAGCCCTCCTCACCCTTTGAAGCCTCCCAATCAAACTGCTGAAACCAGAGATAAATCCTACGGGGATGGGGGATTTATTACGCATCTACTATGTGCAGGCCTTGTCTAGGTGCTGGGGATACATCAGTGAACAAGATGTTCAAAAATCTTCGCCATGGAACTTGCATCCTGGAGGGCGGGGGTGGGGTAGGGTGACAGACATTAAGCAGTACACGTAATGAAATATCTTAGAAATTCTATGGAAAAAATAAGGTAAAGGGGAATTGGTATTGTAGGGGTAAATGTGGTTGTCATTTAAATACAGTGGTCAACTAGACCTCATTAAGAAGAAGACATTTAAACAAAAACTTTAAGAAGGCGAAGGAGTGAACCACGTGCATATCTAGGGGGGAAGAAAGTTTCAAGCAGAGGGAATAAACAAGTACAAAAGCTCTGAGTTGGGAATGTATTTGAGGTATAGCAAGGAGGCCAGTGTGGCCGGAGTGAAGAGGAGAGTGCAGGAAATGAGGTAAGCTAGGTATGTGGTCAGGTAGTGTAGGGGCTTTGGCTTTTGCTCTGAGAATGGGGAGCAAGGGGAAGTTTTGAACAAAGGAGTAACATGATGTGACTTACATTTTAAAAGGGGTAAGGATGGAAGCAGTTAGGAGGCTTTTGCAGTAATTCAGATAAGAGATGATGGTGGCTTAGACCAGCACCTACAGTGGAGAGTTGAGAAGTGGTCAGATTTTGGATATCTGATTTGCTGATGGATTGGATGTGAGGTGTGAGACAAAGATGAGAAGGATGACAACAAGATTTTTGGCCTGAGCTACAGAAAGGATGAAACTGCCATTAATGAGATAGCAAGATTAGAGCTAGAGTAATGTTTACGTGTAAGGAGCAAGAGTTCATTTTTAAGTTTATTTTTGGACATGTTAAGTTTGACATGTCTGTTAGGCAAGCAAATGGAAGTGTCAGGTAGGCAGTTGGAAGAGTCTGGAATGCAGAAGAGAAGTTTGGGCTGGAGATCTAAATTTGGGAGTCATAAACTTATAGGTGGTCACCAAGGGAGTGATACAGGAAGAATACTGAAGACTTGCAGGCTATGCTGAAGTAGGAGTACTGCCCTGAGGCAGGGGTAATCCAACATTAAGGGATGTGGAAGAGGAGCCTGCAGAAGAGACTGAGAAGAGGCAGCCTATGAGATAAGAAGGAAGCTAAGTGAAGAAGTTGTTTTCAGGAAGAGGGGAGTGATCCACTGGTCAAATGATGCTGATAGAACAAGTAGAATGAGGATTGAGAATTGACCGCTGATATAGCAGTATGCTAGCCATTAATGACCTGACAGGAGCAGTTTCTGTTGAGTGATTTGGGTGAAAGCCTAAATGGAGTGGATTTAAGAGATAATGAGAGGACAGGAATTGAGGACAGCCAGACATATAGAACAGAGAAAAAGAGTGGTGGCAGAAGAGGGGGAGAGGGAAGTGGGATAAGAGAGGGTTTTCTTCCTTTTTTTTAAGGTGGGACAGTTTTTGTTTGGGGAAAATTTCAGGTTAAACAATAAGTGGATGAAGGGCTTAATTACATAAGTGCAAAATCACCCAAGGAACGCCTATTAGGTACTACAGTGCTGGCAACAGATAACACTGTGGAAGAATCCCAGGGATGAGAGAAAAACTCGGGAAAAGAGTAAAAAACTTGTTTATTCGCTCCTTTCCCAAAGATTTTCCCTCAAAGAATACTGTGGGGAAATTTTATATTTTCTGAGATTACCAGTGCTATACCCGTTGCCGTCAAGTCAATTCTGACTTATGGCGACCCCATGGGTGCAGGGTGGAACTTCAAGGCTGTGACCTTTTGGAAGCAGATTGCCAGGCCTTTATTCTGAGGCACCTCTGGGTGGGTTAGTCAACCTTTTGGTTAGGAGTCTAGCACTTAATGGTTTGTGCCACCTAGGGACTCCTTTGTGAGATTAACAAAAAAAACCACCAAACCCATCGCTGATGAGTCGATCCCAACTCATAGTCTATAGGACAGAGTGGAACTGCCCCATAGGGTTTCCAAGGAGAGGCTGGTGGATTAGAACTGCCAGCCATTTTGTTAGCAGCCAGACACTTAACCACTGCGCCACCAGGGCCCCATTGTGAGATTAAACCCAAAACCAAACCTGTTGCCGTCAAGTCGATTCCGACTCATAGTGACCCTATACGACAGAGTAGAACTGCCCCATGGGGTTTCCAAGGAGCACCTTATGGATTTGAACTGCCAACCTTTTGGTTAGCAGCTGAACTCTTAACCACTATACCACCAGGGTTTCCTTTGTGAGATTAGGAGAGGTTAATCAAGTGAAACACTGATGCCAAGCTGTCTGAGTTCATATCTCAGCTTTGCCACTTATTAGCTGTGTGAATTTTAGACAAGTTATTTAAACTCTCCAAGCATTAGTTTCCTCATCTGTAAACTGAGGATGATGATTATAAACATATTTACCTAATATCATAGGTTCATTTGGATGTAGGACTAAGAACAATGTAGGCACTCAATAAATAAATGTTCCTAGCCTGAGGCTAGTCATTTTACTCCTTCAGCAACCTTGTTCCATGAATCATCCTTTCTTTTCTGTATAGACAATCTCTAAATATACTGTATCCCTCTCATCAGCATTTATTTAAAAAATGATTATTCTCCTATCTGAAAAGCAAAACAAACCACAATAGACAAAACAGAACTTCCCTGACTCCTAAGGCCTCTTCCAACTAGGTGTCACTTTATCTTCCTCACTAAAATAGTGCAGTGAAGATAAGGGAGAGAAGCAGATGGATTCCAGAGATTTAAGGGGATAGAATCTGAAGGAGAAAGTGCTTAAAACCCTCAAATGCCCTTCTGTTGCAACTGGATTAATCCAAAGTCCTTGCCACAGCCTGCATATACCATGCCTTGCTTATTTCTCTCTTCTTTCCAAGGCTTCTTCAGCCACACTGGCCTTCTTTCTATCCTTTGAATATACCAAGCTCATTCATGCCTCAGGGCCTTTACACCTGCCACTCTTACCTCCTATGTTCATCCAGATAAGGCTTCTTCTCCCCTCCCCGTTCAGGTGTCAGCTCAAATGTCACTTTCTCAGGGAGGCTTTTTTTCACAGCATTTATCACTAACTGCAGTGATCTTATTTAGCAACCACCTGGAATGTTCCAAGAACCTTCTCAGTGGTCTTCCTGGCTTTGGTCTTACCAACCTCCCGATGGCCCCAATCTCACGAAGTCGCTCCTTTGCTTCAGCCTTCAGAATAGAATACAAACTAACCAACGTGGCTCTAGTTTACCTCACAAGACCCGTATCTTGTCACTCCCCTTTTCCAGCTGGATTGAATTTCTTTCAGTTCCCCAATTGCCTGGTGTTCTGTCTCAACTCCAGACTCTTTCCACAGGCTGTTCCTTTGACTATAAATCCTCTATAAGCTTGCTTTTTTTTCTCCTATGACAAGACAGTTTATAATATAGTGATTGAGCACATAAATTATAGAGCCAGACATTCTGGATTTGATCTCAGCTGTTACTTAATATCTCTGTGACCCTAGCAAGTAATTTGTCTCTTCTTCAGTTTGCTAATCTATATAATGGGGATAATGATAGTACCCTCATAAGGTTGTTATTATGATTAAGAGAATTGATAAATGGGAAGTACTTAGAACAGTGCTTGGCACATAGTAAATGCTATGTAAGCATTTGCTGTTTTTACTATGTTTCCTACTAGACTGTAAGTTCTATGAGGGCTGAGACTATATATATTATTCACTACTGTAGCCCATGCATCTAGAACAGTGTCTGGCACGTAGTAGATACTCAATAAATTTTTGTTCAGTGAGTGAATAAATGAAATCTTTAAATGTGGATGTAGACTTTATGTTCATCCAGACAAAGTTAATAAAAGTGCTCCAGGTGGAGAAAACCAGTGCTCCTTTACCTCACCCCCTTCATCTGTAAAGCAAGTTACAAAATCCTCAAGTAGAACGCATAAAACCTCCCCTTTAAAAATGAAGACAGCTTTTCTGTTGGTTGCTACAAAAATTGATGAAGAGTCTTACCCAAATGACTGGCCCTTCCATGGCTACAGAAATGGCAAGACTTTTAAGGAATGAAGCATGAGTCAATAGGAATCCTCTGGGATGTCTTCAGTTCTCCATGAAGTGCTCCTGTTGGAGAAGGGCATCAGGAGAGCTCTGGT